GGAAATTCTGGTACTCCATTTTCAAATCAGGATCTCGATCTAGACGTTGGATCAAAATCGGGGTGACGTGGTAAGCGAACCATATATCTACCATCATGTGTGCGGGTGACGTTGGAAACAAAATGCGACTCGCATTGTTGTTCTTCAACAGAAAGGTTTGGTGTGTTGCTAACTGCTTCCATTTTCCAGAAACGTTCGACGGCGTCTTGAAGCGGATCTGATATGGACACGTGACAGGTGGTGACAGGTGGAACTGACGTTGGCATCTGATTTCTCCCAACAACAATCCAACCGAATACACTCTCGACGAGCATGTGCTTCTGATCCTGTTCAATTTTGGTACCAGGATTGACAAAGGTGTAAAAGTGCTCTGCTCCTAGGAGCAGATCGATTGCTCCAGTCTTATTGAAGCTGGGATCGGCAAGGAATAGGTCTTGTGGAATACGCCAGTTTCTAGCTGGAAACGTCACAGCAGGCAAGTCTATCGTGATGCGAGGTAGAACGAGGAAGTCGAGGTCGATTTCAAAATCATTTTTCCTTGAGCGAATGGAAGAATGAACGCTATGTTTCACGTTGGACGACGCTTCACCAACACCGTGAAGGGGAACGTTCACATTTCGGCGCCTTAGCTTCAAAAGCTGACAGAATCTCTCGCTCATTATGTTAGACTGAGAGCCACTATCTAACAATGCACGTGCAGGGTGCGTATCACCGTTTGAATCGACGACCAAAAGTACGACGGTGGAGAGCAAAACATTCGAATTGGAAAGTGGTGTGGGGTTGCTGAGTTGTTGACTGGGGATGGAGTTCGTGCATGTGTAGGTGGTAGAGGAGACTGGAGCGTGGTTTCGATTTGATGATGGCCTAGACGGATGAAGAGCTTGGTTGTTAGGGCGTTGCGCAGACGAGTGGCTAGGAGCTTCGTTGTAGTTATTAGTGGTGTGCAGCATGGTATGGTGTCTTCTCTGGCAGTGTCGGCAAGAGTATGTGGATTGGCAATTTCGGGCAAAGTGATCGTAGCGGAAACAATTTTGGCACAAACGGTTGGTATCGATTAGTCTTAGACGGTCAGGAATACTCATCCTCTCGAATCGGGGACATTTGATAATAAAATGACGTTGATTGCAAGCATAGCATTTCGGCAACTGGTCCTCCGAGACAGTGTGGGTGGCAACTTTATGCGGAAATAGCCTTCTATTGGAAAGGAACTGATTCACTGGTGTGTGAGAGTTTTGCGACTGGTGGTTGACGGACATCGACTCAAGTACTCGGATCCTACGTTGGAGAAATTGTACGAGGCAAGCGTAATTAGGATCATCGACGGTAGTGGCGTGATCTTCCCATGCTTTGAGGGTTCCATCGTCAAGGCGAATGCACAGTAGGTGCTCAAGAATCGTACTCCATTGGTCAACAGGTTCCTCTAGGTGGTGGAGAATTTTGGTATGGCGTTCAAATTCATCCACTAGGCTATGCAAAGCCTCGGCAGATTGCCTTTTCATGCGAGAGCAATCCAAAATCGCTTGCAAGTGACGTTTTTTGAGCAAGTAATCGTTTGCGTAGCGTGAAGTCAGCGTCTGCCAAGCGATGGAATAGTTGGCAGAACTGATGGAGATCGATTCGATTAATTGTGCCGCTTCACCCTTAACGGCAGCACGGAGGTAATGAAACTTTTGTACGTCGGGGACATCAACGTTGGCGTGAATTAGGGCAACAAAAGTATCATGGAAAGCCAGCCATTGATTGTAGTCGCCATCGAACTCTGGCAACGAAATGGTGGGAAGCTTGATGCCAGATAACCCAGCTGGGGCAGGGATTGCGCTTTGCGTCGGTATAGGATTGGCGGGTAAGGAGGATCGCAGAGCAGCCATTACTTTGAAGTATAGGGATTCGAATTTGTAAAGGGTTTGGTTGTTCTGTTCCCTACCTTCATTGGTGGTTTCTTCATCTTCAATTTTCGACTGAACATCCTTCAGTTCCGTCCACACGTCGTTTAGGTTCTCGATGCGTACCTGCACCTGAGCTTGGTCTCGATCGACCTGGTACTTTGAAACGAACTGGTCGGCTCTCCACAGTGATGCTGTTAAGGCGGTGCGACGGTTCGTAAGTTGTAACATCCGTTGTTCGTCCATGGCGGTGCGGTTGGAACGCGATGTAGCAAAATGGCGGTTCTAGGTGGAAGACACACAAAAAGGACCCGGTAGAACCGAACAAAAGGATTGGGATGGTTGGAATACTACTAACCTTTTCAAGGCTAGGATAATGCCTTGTATTTTATTGATAGAGCGCCTATGATTGGAGCAGGTAAGCGGGTGGCAGGATGGCGGAACGGATGAAAACGACGGCGGTAGCTTGTTGGATGATTTTCTTGACGGGCGGGGGTACCCCGTTTTACGGTACACTAGATGGTGGCACTTCGCTTCACAGTTGGAAATCCTCGATGAGCGGACGGAATAGCGTGTAAAGAAAATCGGAAAAATCTCAAGGCACCCGTGGACAATATCTGCGCACTATGGAATTACACGTACCATGTACCTGAATCAAATAGGCCTTGTATTAAATTAAATCTGGAACAGCAGGAACGTATTTCAATCTCGTATTCTTATTCAGCAAGGATGGCGTCGGTTGCACTTGGAACGATGGCGGAAATTCAACAGCACTAATTTTGTATGATGGCGGTTGGCGTCACTCGGAACGCGGACACAATGGCGAATTGGAAACCGAATCCTGGTCACGGCACCAAAATGTTGGGGCAGGTTCGTGATTTCCGTTAAAAATTTAACCGTCGGGAAAATCAAATGTGCACTGTAACTATGCTGAGTGGAGGTGTGAGCATCGGCTAACACTCCAGTTGATTCTTGCACCGAACTTTTAGGTTTGCGACTAACCGCCACTAGGAGCCACTTCTTCTTTTGAAAGGAAACACTTTGCAACTTGGATTTGGATTTATTAAGTTTTAACTTGGGATACACTTTAGGTCTGATTTTTTGGATAGCTCAATTTGGAATGATTTATTACTAATAATTCAATTAACTCTTAACCTAATTTGCTACTACTACTAACGTAATTAATTTTTACTCTACTTATTTCCAGTACTACTACATTTGTATAGCACTCATTTGTAGTACCAGAATGGTGGGTTCGGCGCGAATCTATAAAATAGATTTGGAAACTGGTTGAGAACAAACAGTGATGTTTAAGCGGAAACAATGTTTGAAATTTTTATTTACTCACTAGATAACTTTCACCTCCAAATCTTTAATTGCACAGTTATTTTTAAATGTTCAACAGTTAATATCTTCATAGATGAATAAATTAAATGGCTATTCTATTTTTGGAAATGGTGAGTAAAGATAACGTCTCATTTAGTTCAAACTGCAACATCCTTCTGTATAATGATATGTAATACATACTTGGAATTTTCGAAAAAAATGTAGAAAATATGTCTTCACAAAATTTGGCAAGACATCCTTTGTCTGGTTCCTTATATGACTGTGTTAAAGCAGTTCTCCAGTTTTCAATTGGGGTGTTCTTTCCTTGAACAGAATTTTATACAAATAATCCAACAAGCATTTAGAATCATAAGAGCCTATGGGGAAGATTTCGGAAAAGTCACATCGCAGTGAAGACCAGGCATGGAAAATCATTTGCATTCATTTCGTGCATTCATTTACATTCATTTGCCTCCAAATTTTTTTATCAACAGCATTCCGCAAAATGATGTATAGGGTTTTTGTAGGTTTTTTTTTATTAGCTACAACTTTTGTTAGCAAGTCAAATTCGTATCTCTTATGCATGACGAAGCAGAGCGAACAGAAGCCACTACTATTTTTCAGTGAATGTATTTTACATTCACTGAAAAACAGTGACAAGTTCTGCCCACTCTAGTTCGTGATGCATAAGAGATACAGATTTAATTTATGAGTAAAACTTGTAGCTAACAAGAAAACCTACAAAAGCTCTTTAGATCATTTTGCGGAATGCTGTTGATGAAAAAAGTTAGAGGCAAATGAATGTAAATGAATGTATGAAATGAATGCAAATGATTTTCCATGCCTGGTGACGACCTTATGATTCTGAACGCTAGAATTACTATGGTTATAATAGTCACTTTAACAATTCTCAGGTCATTCATTTGATGATATTCACCCTAGGTTCATCCTTAGGATTGGCAATAAGATTCGAGATTGTTTCAGTAGATTCTGATTGCCAGCACTTGCTTTCAGTTTATTTCCCGCCACAAAATGCAACCGAGCTTTCTCTCGAAGCTTTCAAACAACTCACTCTCTGAGAAACTCAAATACTCTCGAGCATAGAACTCAATGCATTAAAGCTTCCCCAATGATACGAAACGGAATCAAAACAAAAACATAAATTCTCCACCTTCGTATTCCACACACGAACGCTGTTTGCATCGTGTCTCATTCTATGCTGCCTCAGTCTCGTCGAGCGGAGAGAAATCCGCGAGTCACGAGAAAAGCTTATCGCAACATACAATTTTCTCCGAGCAAAATATGTTCTCTTTCTCCCGCTGATATGCTTCGCTATGCAACGCACGGAGATCCGAAGCGTTTTTCGGGACATGGCTTGCTTTGGGTAGGTAAAGGAAGCATAACAACAAACAACTTCACTCCACTTGGCTAAGCATATCACTAGTAAGGAACCGCGTCCGAGCGCTCTCTCTCTCCCTAGGCGACAATTATGCTGGTTCTGTTTTCATACTTCTCTCAGCCGCCAGTTTCCAAACAGAGAGTCGGTAATCGGGAGAAACCCAGAGAGATTTTCGCTATGCTTTTGTAATACCCGCTTTGTGGAACGGCACACGCGGTCGCATGGTCCCTCGTGCTGGCACATCCATAGTGTGTAATACTATGATTGCCCTTCGGCGGCACCTCCTGGCTCCAACCTTTCCCGTAGCGATTCCATTCCTCAAGACTCGCAGTAGTCCGCAGTCAAGCTGGAGCTGGAAGCTCCCTCAGCATGTCTGTTGGTCGGTCGGTTGGTTCGGTAGGCAGCTTCTTGCATAGCGCACGTGAGGGGTTAGAACGGTTTCGAAATGGCATGCACCGTTCAGTCTCGTATTGGTTCTAGTGCGCGCTGGAAGTGGATTTTCGCGTCGTCGTCGTCGTCGTTTTCGTCGTAGTTGGTTTTTCTGACGATCGGAGTGCCGTTGTCGTCCGCAATCCGCGCGTAGTAAGTTACGTCTTTTTCGCGGTCGTAAATATTGTGTGAACGTTGCTTGGCGCTGTGTGGAATCGAAAGGGGAGTGAGTCAATTCTCCGCATTGTTGGTGGTTTTTCGGCAAGTGCACTATCGAATGTGTGGTTGAGTTGTGGTTGATGGCTTGTGAAAACATCGGTTTCGAATGTAGTATTGGAGTTAATCGAGTTGTGGAACCATTGAAGGATTAAGGTTGCTTCGCTGAATTCGGAGGTGAATGAACAGAAAGTGAGTGTCGGCAAGTTTTTTTTTTGTAATTTTAATGATGATGCATCCCGGTTTACATTTGCTTCCACTCAACGAGCCATCGCCATCATAATTGGAGGGAACGAGAGTTAGAGTGTGCAGTGTATAGTTGTGGTTTTGCTAGCAATAATGGCAAATGGTTCGATGGGTTGCATGAAGTGGAAATCAAACGAGCGTGATGAGTAGTAAACAAATCGGAAAAGAGTAAATAAATTGATTTGTAACTAATGTGTCCCGTCCTGCCATTATACCGTGATGATAAAGTGATTGTTATTGAATCAGTGGTTTCATTCTTTTGTAGTGTCGTACTGAGGGAGGGGGTGGTTGTTATAGTTGGAAGCTTTCAACGTGACAGCATTGATGATAGTGGATAATAAATTCCATTCCGATTATGATCGAACATTTCTGTGATGATAATGGTACCGTAAGACGGGGTAACTTTTATAGCTTTGAAATATATTCAAAATATTGTTTAAAACAATTAATGTTTTTTAATTTGTCTTTAAACACGTCCTCCAAGGACGTCCAAGCGTCAATTTGTTAGAAATATTTTTAACGGAAATAATTACATTTGCACTACTTTGTTTTGTCTTGTGACCGAACATCAGTTTTTTGTTTTGGGGTTATTTTAATAATACTCGATGAATGTAAAAAAAAAAACCTTAAATTTAGTGGAAGAAACAATAAAATTTTAATGAGTATATAACTAGACACATCATAAGCAATAAGAATACAATATAGAATTTGTGATGGCTATGTCGGAAATACATTTAATATGTGATAGTTTGAGTGCCTTTTCAATCCAATCAGGCGAACAACAAGAACATTGTTTTATTTAGATATTACTAAAATATTTAAAACATAATATATGAAAACTCTATACAATATCAAAGGTAGTAAATACCCTATGTTTCAAAATGGAACCAATGTTTCCATTTCAAAAATAGAGCAGAGAGTAAAGATAATCATCATATTCTACTATCAAAGTTACCCGCATTATCAAAGATACTCCGTTTTATGGTACATATGAACAAAAATGTGCAATACAATGCCATTACGGCTAAGAATGCACAGTGCTACATGAAATTGACTAAATCAATATTGATTTATTGGGGCAGTCTATTCTAGTTTCCAATTGTATATATCTTCAATGTAATTTTCCTTGACCTCATGAAAAGTTCAACCAGCAGGCTATCGTAGACTAAAATAATAACAATTACAAATTAACAAATTCGATTGAGATAAAAATTGCGTTTAAAGTTTGTTCGCCAAACATGCCAAGAAGGAGAAAATTCTCTAATACAGTGCATGAACTGACTTTACGCTGCTTTTACTGCATTTGTTTATTTTTTGGCCATTGAAATAACATGATATGTTCGACATGATTGAAGTGCACCCGCTTGGATGTAAAATTAAAATATATATTTTGCAGCGTAGAAACCAATTGCTATTTAAAAAATTCATGAAAATAAAAAAAAATATATATATTTTGGAACAGAAAACGTGGTGGCTATAGGTTCGAATTTTGAGCAGTTCTAAGCCAAAAGACGAATCTTTCTGAGCTTTTCCGATTTGTATGAAACTTTGCATATCTAATAGTTTGTAATGGGCAATCATTCACATTTGTGCTAAGATTCGACCTTTTTGAATATTTTTCCTTTTTTTAATGTTATATATTATAAATCTCAAATTATTGCCGCAAGCAAGACGTCGTGATCTTCTACCAAAACGAAGGTGGAATGAATTCTGATGTTGAATAGTACCGCCTAGCTGTATCGGATTGTTGCTACGATGTAATTGTCCTGTGCGAAACGTGGCTCGATTATCGAACGCTTTCCAGTCAAGTCTTTGGTCCTGACTACGAGGTCTTTCGTTGCGATCGGAATCCTAACAACAGCCGTAAATCTACTGGTGGAGGTGTCCTTGTAGCTGTCCGTGGCGGATTGGAGACAAAGGCCATCGAGAACGATTCATGGAACTATGTGGAGCAGGTTTGGACAGCCATCAATCTGGGTGATCGCACACTATTTCTATGCGCTCTGTACATTCCACCTGATCGAGTCCGGGACAATGAACTCATCGATACTCACTATCGGTCATTTTTCACAGTTATCGAAAGTGCCACTCCAGTTGATGAGATATTCATTTTGGGTGACTTCAATCTGCCAGTTTTGTGGAGTCCATCTCATAGCGGATTCCTGTATCAGGATCTACATTTCACGCAGGAGCTATTAGCCTTCTCGACAACTACAGTGCAGTAACGTTTTCTCAAATTAACCATGCCGTTAACGAAAATGATCGTAGTTTGGACCTCTGCTTCGTGAGCACACAGGACAGGGCTCCATTAATTTCCTCGGTTCCTTGTGCACTATCTCACCCTCCTCTAATTATCACTGTTGAGGACAAACTCGGTGGCCTCCCTTAGCTCAGTCGGTAAAGGCGCAGCTACAAAGCAAGACCATGCTGGAGGTGGCTGGGTTCGATTTCCGGTCCGGTCTAGGAATTTTTCGGGTTGGAAAATGTCTCGACTTCCCTGGGCATAAAAAGTATGATTGGACTTGCCACACAATTATACCAATGCAAAAATGGTACAGACATCGAAAGCTCTCAATTAATAACTGTGGAAGTGCATCTAGAACACTAAGTTGAGAGCACGCAATAAGCTCATATTTCGTATGCAATAAGCTTGACATGCGAAGAAGAAGAAGAATGAGGACAAACTCGTTCGTGATTTCGACTACTATCCTACGGTTTCTTATGACTTCCGTAAAGCTGAACATCGTAGCATCATAGATGTATTTTCAAGCATGGTATGGGGAAATATCCTTGATCCAGATGACGTTGAGACTGCCGGCGAAAACCTTTTCACGTGTCTTGGCATATGTCATTGGCAAACACGTCCCTAAAAGAACTCACCACAAAGTGTCTCATCCTCCCTTGCAGACGACAGAGCTACGTATGTAGGTTGAAGTTAATCAAAAGAGCAGCATTTACGAAGTATCGCACGCTTCCTCTGAAACTACATTATGTGAGGCTGAATCACATGTACCAGCGAGTTAGTCGTGAATGCTTTTCAAGTTTCCAACGAGGCATCCAGCGCAAGTTTAAGCTACACCCGAAATCTTGTTGAAACTACGTGAACGAGCAACGCAGGAAATCCGGCCTTCCATCGTCTATGGAATTCAATGGAGAAGTTACTGCCACCGTTCAGGATATATGCCGCCTTTTTCCGACAAGTTTTCCAGTGTATTCACTAATGAAATACTAACTTACGACCATATTAACCTGGCTGCCAGGAACGTTCCAGTAAATGATCAAACACTGGGTGCAATTGATGTTAATGCTGAGATGATTTCCAAGGCCGTGACTGTGCTCAAGTCATTCTTCAATTCTGGACCTGATGGAGTTCCATTTGTATTTTTGAAGAGACATATTGCTAGCTTGTTAATTCCGCTTCATCGCCTGTTCCGCATGTCTCTCTCCAGTGGCATTTTTCCATCCTGCTGGAAATTTACGCACATGTTTCCCGTCGCCGTTTCGAAGCTATTTCAGCTAGTGATTATGGAACCGTTGCTGTCCCATTGCAAGCAGTATTAGCAACAATCAATACGAAACTAACGATTTTAAATTGGCTCACTACTTGACTAGCCTATTGGTCCCAAGCAAACGATTAACGTATCCTATTCTAGTCGAAATTCTAGTACTACGCAATGATTCGCTATGAAAGTTTGACAGATAAAATGAGGGGTTATTGGTTTTTTCTATGTTTCGAGGGGTGAATCGATCAGAGTACCAGAGTACCAGAGCTAAGCCAAAAAGTTGAGCACGTTATTTCGGGACCTTCTTGTCTTAGAGTTACCTCTATGGTATTAGAGTGCTGATCAACGTGGGTTTTCTGTCGGTCGCTCTACAACCACCAATCTGCTGTGTCTCGCATCGTATATAACCGAAAGCATGTTGGATTGGGTTCAAACGGACGTTATTTATTCAGACCTATTCGCAGCATTCGACTAGTTGAACCATGCTATTGCGATTGTTAAATTCGGCAAGCTCGGTGTATGCGGTAATCTTCTGAGTTGATTTCGATCATATCTTTGTGGCTATGGCATGACCAAACGCTCCCGATAAACTAGCTCAGTAGCATGAGACCCCTGAACTGTGTCGCAGGGCCGGCATATTACTGGGTATTCGGAGGGACTACGTGGGCAAAGTATGAAAACACGGTGAAAATTCACATTTTCTATAACATTTATTGCCCTTTTCTGTGGCGTGTGGGTCTGGGTTTTCACATATTTGTGTGGCATGTAAGCGAGAGTTTATGAAGCTATTACGGTACTCACTGTTGCAGCAGAATCTCCTTCGACGTCGCGAAGCTGGCGTTGGCCCACACGGCTGCTTCTGCACTATCGTGTGGCCGGAAACTTGCGGCGCGAGCTGCAAACAATGTTGTTGCTGCTTTGGGAGAATGGCGGATCTGGTGGCAAAACATCAGCCTCATACGGCTCAGCAAGCGTTGCTGGCTCGTTTGGCTGACAGGCGTCTTCCGTCGTTGACAACATCGGCTGACCGTGGCATGGCCACCTTGGTCGAGTCTAGACCGAACCCTCTTTGGCAATTAAGGCCACCGGCCTGAGGGAATCGTCCCTGACGGACGAGAGAGGATCATTTGCGATTAGGCTCGAAAGCCATCTTGACTTCCGAGCCGAGCCGTGTGAGACCGTTTTATTTACGGTACGAGGTCCTGAGTGGAGGCAGGCTTTCCAGCCCAAACCCCAAAAAAAGGGGAGGGGGGTATTATATTTGCACTGCACTTCACATTCAACTGGTATTCACGGACGCCTGATTACTTCTCCTCATTATAAGGGTTTTTTTAGAACATGGCCACTCGCATGCCTTTTGCCGATCATTCTCCATTGTTAGCTCAAGGCTACGATTTTCCTCCTTTTAGTATCGTTTGAGTGTTTTTGCAGCGGTACTATCCC